AGTTACTTCATTAATGAAGTTTTGTATTGGAAATTCTTACTCGGATTCACAGAAGTTAATTATTTGGCAGTCATTTTGGAGCAGTTTTAGACTTAGATCTTTTTAAAAACAAGTTAACTCATTAGTGTGCATTTTCAGTGGTTAAATGGTTACTTGAATTAACTTTAGCTTTTTTATTGTGAACTTTTTAGACTGTCTTTCACATAAACAAGCTGTTTTCCTCATCTTAATCTGGTGTAATCACTATCAATGTTATAAATGAGGAACAGGGGTTTGGTTTCCCGTGTGTATTCAGGTGCTCAGTTTTTATGACTTTTTAGGTAGGAATTACATTACTGCCTCAAGTACGTAGTACTCTCTGTTGTCCTTAAGTCTATTAGTTGTTGAACATACACTAAGCATTCAGATTTTATTTAGAACTTGAGTGCTCATAGAAGAAAGCTTAAACCAATAAATCTGTTCTTATGCTTCTAGTGCAGCACTGGAAAAGTTCTCTTAGGAACATGTAGGGTACCTGCAAACTTATTAAGCCTGTAGGATTTGTGTTATTCATTTGTGGAGTCTGATTTCAGCCATTCATTGCCTCTGGCAAGTATCGGGTTCTTAATGTGCTAGAAATAATGTATCTTAGCATTTTAATGTGTGTGTGCACATGCTCTCTCTATCTATTGATGTCTATGTGTATATATATACATACATAAAATATTATGTCACTTTTAACTGCTTAGTTACTTTATTTCATTGTGGATCACTTTTGTATTCAGTCAGTATCGTTCTATTTGTTGAATACTCTTCAGGCTGTTTCTCCTTGTATAGAAGTAAGGTTTTGGTCCTAGATGCTGCTCAGTCAGCCTTCTTCCCTGAAAATGAAGGTTTTAAGATACACTGTTCTGCTGTATTCCTTCTGTATTCGTAGGCAGCAAAACCGTTGTAGAAATTTGTGGATGGAAGGATTTGGCAGCTGTTTCAGTGAGCAACTGAAAACCCAGAAATAACTTGATCTCTTTCTTTGTTGACATGTTTCTTGAATTTTAAGCTAAGATAATACAGAATGTTAAAATAGCAAACATTTTAACTGAGTATATAGGTGAAAGACTATTATTAGTACATCTTCTGCTGCTATTAAGAATTCAGGCCTTTGTTGCTAGAGAAAGTACAGAAATTTCCAATTACAAGTTCTAATGTAGTGCTAATTCTCACAGCTCTTGCTTAGTTTTTCAGATTCATCAAATTTACTTATTGTCTGTTTGCTGTTATTGATAACAAATACACAAAAAACCTAAGAATTTTTTTTAAATGCTTTGTGTGATCTGCATGTAAGTAGGCTATTGGATCCAGAGTGCCTGAGAGTAAGTTGGAAATTACAACCTTCATAAGATAAACGATCAGAAAATTAAACTTGATGCTGTGGGGTATGGCACCAAAAATGGCAAAAACCTTGTTCAATACTAGGCAAAACTGTGCAGAACATCCTTTATTTTAGGATGTCACTGAGTAGGGATGGATTTTTCAAATTTTGCCAAAATGAATTGCCCTGAAACCTAGACCAGACTCACTTAATATTGCTATAGGCTGAGGAGACAAAACTGGTGCTGTTGCACAACAGCTGGGATTCCTGTTGATCAATACTGATCACTCATTGTGCTGAGCACTGAATTCAGCATTTTTAGTCATGCCTCTGTCTTCAATTCCCATACGTGCACGCTCTGCTTTCTGGGTTTAATTTGGATGGTAGTGGGTTATGCTTTATGGAGGATTAGATAGATAGCATGAGTTCTCTTAACATCCAAAATATGAAAAAGTCGAATTGTAGGTACTTTTGAGAGGCTTAGCAGATTTTTTTTCTGAAGCTTAGCAGAGGCTGTGTTAAGTGGAAGGTGCATTACCGAAACACATCCTTCAGTCTCCTGTGGTTTGTTTTTTTTTTTAGTGGCTCAAGTATTCAGTGTAGAAATATTTTTATTAAACATGATTAGGCTTTATATATAAAGGTGCCAACCTGTAATTTTTCTTCTGGTTTCCTGTCAGAGTTTAAACAAACTGCTCTTGTCTCCTGAGATCATTCTTTGACTGTTGGAGTCACATGGAAGTGTTGACGGCTGTTCTGTGTCTGGAACAGCTTGTGACTGGAAAAAAGCAGCAGCCACATTGTAAAAATGTGCAGCGTAATAGCTCTGAATAGCGCTGTTGTTGACACTTGCATAGAAAAACCACCTACAAATAAAAGAAGGGTTCATTGTGTAAGACTAACGCATACTACTGTTGTTTATCTACTCTCCTAAATTTAAGTTTGGAAGGTTTGCACTTTATTCTATTTCTCATTGTAGATGTAATGAGGGGTAAAAGTGGGGTCGGTATAAAATTCCAAATCAACATTTAAAAATAAAAAGTTCAGTTTCTAGGTTTTTGAAAACTGCAGCTATTAAATTTGCATTGCAGATTTTCTCACGCCTCATTGTAAACGTTTAAGCCCTTCGGTCTGCACGTACTCTGTCTTGCCATATTGGAGTACTCGGGCTCAAAACTGAGATCTGTGTTAGGGCTGTAAACTTGAGTGCAAAGGAGAAACTAGACCACAACGTACAGAATGTATTTGTGTTGGATGAAATGAGAATAACTGCAGTGGCATTAACGTAGAATTAATATTATCTTCTTGTAGCTGCACAGTTAATGAGGAATGGAGGAAGGAAGTGAAAAGAATTGGCTTTGGTAGAAAGAATCTTCTGGCAGACATGTTTTAAACTGCAGTAAATTCAAATTGAAGTTTGTGTGAGAGCAGTAATGGATCTCTTATTTCTATACTGCTTTGTAGCATCAAAGTCATGAAGTACTGAAATAGTTTGGTAGTAGCAATTTGTGCTTTTAGCAAAAGTGTCTCCTGTGTGATACTAAAAAAAATACTTCACTTGATAGCAGGTAAGAGAATGTTGTATGGAAAAAATACCTAGGGAAGTTGCACTTCATTTCATGATGTATTCGGCTTTCTGTCCTTTTGTTAAAATTGCAAGGGGGACTGAGAGAGGGAAGAATAAAACTACTTGGGTTTAGAAGGATTGACTTTGTGGAGAGGGGAAGCTTTACAGGCAGAATGTGACTGAACTTGACATTGACTAGTTGAAAATTAACACCAACTGTGAGCAGGAATTACTTTCGTACTCAATTTGGGCTTTTGCAGTTAAGTAAACAGCTTATTAGAAGAAAATGGTGGGCATTAAGAAGTTTCAGGTCAAACTCTGCTAACAGTATTGAAACACTTTCATTACAGTGTTTAACAGAAGTAGGGCATGTGCCCCATTAAAATACATTGTTTTCAATTGCTGGAGATTTGACTGAACTTTGACTATTTGTACTGAAGCAGTCAGAATCAGGTATTTTTTCCCCAAATTCAAAAGCTTATTTAACCACAGTTTAGTAGTATTTGAGAAAAGACTTCAAAGCTTCAGCACATCTGTCATTTTCATAACTCCTGCAACTTCTGACATAGATTATGCATGTATGTGATAAACACAGGTCAATGAAACCTGTCCCCATACATCTTCAAATGGTCCCAGAATGCTCAACGTAATTCTGCCAGCTCAAGGCTACAGACTTAGTCCAGGAAATTTTTGTATCAGTTTATCACATCTGAACTAAAAGCAGAGACTCTGCTGCTATTCTTAGTGACTTCCAGGCTGATACCTAATCATTTTAGGGGCACAGAAGCTAGTGGGGCAGCTTAGCCAAATAGCTTAGGATGAGGAGCATGTGCAGAGGCTGGGTCTCAAGACTAGGAAAAGGTGTTTCCACTCAAGCATTTGGAATGCTAAAGACAGTTCTTCAAATGTAGGGTTTGCTGGGTACAGTGATAACTACCTGAGGAAAACACTCTAGATTAGGGGACAGATGGGAGGTTTAATCAAAGATATATCCATACTCACAGGGCATACAGATAACTGGTTACTGCCACTGCAGTCACCCAAAGAACTGACTGTTTTCTAGCAAAGCATAGGATGCTCTGAGATGACATTTCAGGCAACTGGACGTAAGTATGTCCAGTATATTATGAACAAACTAGGCTGTAGCCATCTTTAAGAAAAACAAACAAACAACGACCCTACAGCTAGGATAAAATCGCACTTTTCACGAGCATGCATCCACTCCCACACTCTTTATGGTAGACAGCAGCAGAAGGAAGTGGTTGATCTGACGACAGAAGCCAAAAGCCCTATACAGGAGTAAAATAAATGGCCAAGCTCACTTCCTGAAGTAAGAATGAAATTACTATTTAGCTTTCAGAAACATCTGTTGTGGAACTAAATAGTAACATTTTGTGTCCCTTTTTTTTTTCTTCCTAAATGCTCCTCAGTCTCATTTGCCTGTATACATTTTGTACGTCATAGCTTATCCCAGATGAATGAGCATGATTTTTTTTTCTTTGTTTGGATTTCCTGTTTTGCAAAAGGAAATGGTTGGTGTCCTTCATTAGATGGTCACAGTAGAAACTTTGAAATGGTGAGGAGTGTTTAATGTGTTTGTGTTCTGTTTTTTCTTTTAAGAAATCACCTGAAAAATCTGTTTAGAAATGCCAAACTGATGTGGACTGATTATTTTGACTTAATGAAGTTTGTAAAACTCTCTAAAGTACTTAACAATAGCCAGCTAATTTCAGTTTTAAAAATAAATACTCGCTGAAGTTCATCACGTGGATGTATGCCTTTGTTTGCAGGACAGCATTTTGTTGTTGTTTTGTATGCTTGTTTTCTTGGGGTTTTTGGTTTGTTGTTTTCTTTTCCTCTTAATTGCTGCACAGTGTTGTCTATTTTGGAATGGTAGTGGGGGTTTGGTTAGTTGGTTGGTTTAGGTTTTTGCCAGAGTGTTGTTAGTTAAACTCCAGGTTTACCCAGAAGATGTGTATAACTTGAAACAGATAAAGATGTAGGGGTTTTTTGGTGTTAGTCTTTGAATCGTTGTACCTACAAGATTATATAGGGTTCTCTTCCCCTCTTCTCTTTCTGTTTTAGGTGAAATTGTGGTAAATGAAGTAAATTTTGTAAGAAAATGCATTGCAACAGATACAAGTCAGTATGACCTGTGGGGAAAATTGGTTTGCACGAACTTCAAGATTTCCTTTATTACGGATGACCCAATGCCACTACAGGTTTGTTATTGCTCACATTACTACATCATGACAATTGGGATAGGTAAAATAGATTTAATTAGAACACAGTGAATGTGTCTCATAGCGGGTACAAATACAATGCCTTTTAAAACAAAGCAGACTAAGTGAGGTTCCACTGTCCTGTTCCAAATGTGTTGCTATTCCATCCCTTCATTGAGAATATCAGAACAGAGCAATGGAAGGCTTCATTGGGAAGTGGCTTTAGAAAAGGCAAAGCAGGAACTGTATAAAAACATCTTCCTCCTTGAAGAAGATAATTGCAAATCTCTCTTTGACTAGACAAGCGTCAGATCAGCAAAGCCTTTCATACATCCAACTTTTATTGGCATTACTGAGGGAGGACGAAGCCTTTGTCGAAGCAGAACATGTGACATTTAAAACCTCAATCAGTCTTTGAACAGCACAGCATGCAATACTGTTTAGAAATCCAGTCTGTGAGCTGTGTTAGTTTCAGTAGTTTTCACTTTCATTTTGTGCTTTTAAAAGAGTCCATTAACTGGGCATGTGTAAAGCTCTGAAAGTAGATAGATGCTTATCCAGTAGTGGTTAGTAGATTTGACCAAAGCTACCTCAAAAAACCTAATTTTTGGACATGAAGCAGTTGTCCAAGTTTATTTCTGAAAGCTGAATTAATATTTGTTATTCCTATTGTTACAGTAATAGTTGGAGATCTTTATCTTACATATACATACATACATACATACATATATACATATATATATATAACCTCAGATTGTATTGAATTTCTACCAGCAATTTTTGAGGCTAGTAAATTCAGTGCAAGTAGTGGGGTTATTTTGCATACCCCACTGGGGTTTCTAGACTGTTTGGTGTGCATTTACCAACAGGAGAGAGCAGTTTCCAGAACCTTTAATTGTCTGTAATAGGCAAGGGTGGTATGTGTCAGAAGTCTAGGCATGCCTGATTTCTGTCATGGTTTCTTCAAAGTTGTGCTGTATATCCGGTTGTGAACTGCAGAACTGCAATTAATGAGTTCCTGTATTTCAGAAATTCCATTATAAAAACCTTCTCCTTGGTGAACATGACGTCCCACTAACATGCATTGAGCAGATTGTCACAGGTATGTCAAAAATAGTTAAGTGTGATGACAGCCTTTAAACTTTCTCAGTTCAGAGCTGTTAACTGCCTCTTAGGTTGTGCAGAATTGTTGATGCTTAAGCATTAAGCTTCTCTGATTTGAAGAATTCGATTTATATAAAATTAGAATAAAAGCATTAAAAGCTGCATAAAACTTGAGGTGCCATGTGGGAGACGTATTTATTTGGTCCTCTATATTTGTTCTAAACTTAACTACTGTACTGACTCAACAGGTGTTCCAGGATAGACGCCTGTTACAGCAGGACAGAATTTTGTCAGCAACTTTCTTGTATTCAAGCATCTGAGTCTCTTCGCTTTAAATGCACTAGGTTGCAGAAAGCACAGTACTTACAGAATTTGCACATAGCTGAGGATATCTGACAACATAAGTGCTTGAGTTTTCACTGTTTCCTAATTCTTAGCAAGTTGTATCTGGTGATCCTCAAAAATCTACAAATGACAATAGGCATCTTAATCTGAAGTAATAACTTGTACTTATTTTGCAGAACCAGTTTTTTTATTTGGTGGATACTTTAGGCTAACGTGTTAAAAAGAACACTTTGCATCTTGTAGTTGAAGAATTTCATGTAACTGATAGTTCTTCAAATCTGGATTATGACACGGGCTGTTAAATACTTGGTTTTCTGACTGTAGGTAATTTAAATCATTACTCACAAGCTTTCAGTGCCCAAAGTTATCCAATAATCCATTTCTACTCTGGAAGCTAGTTGTAGTCACTGTGAAAAGATTGATTTGTACCTGAGGAACAACATTATGAAGAAATAATTTAAAAATGCAGAGGTGTTATTGAGTGCCCGTGTTTGTTGCCCCTTTTCAGAAATACCAGGTAGAAGTGACAAAACAGTAGCAGCGTTGTAAATCTGTTAATGACAGTTCTATATGGAAAGATGTTTATCAATTGGGTGTTAGTTGTTGTCTTTAACATCTCATACAAATGTTCATAAAAGAAATTCTGCTAAATAGGAGGGGAAAAGCCAGCCAACCTTGAAAGGTTATTCTATAAATTATGGCCTCTCTTACATGAAATGTGTTGTTCCTAAATGGGAGAGGACTAAAGGTAGCTTTTATTTTGCAACTTGGGGGCTGAAGAAGAGATTGTTCAGTGCCTGTTACATTGAAGGAGAATAGCTGGAGGTGTCCTAAGACAGTCTGTAGCTTCAGTGATGCTTGCTTTTTTACAACTTGCCTTTCTGTGTTTGAAAGGAGATTCGTAGGCCTGTCTATGCGGGTTTAGACCAACAGGCAACTTACAGTACAGACATTCTTGGGGTTCATGTAAGAAATAAGGAGTAGGTCTTAACTTCAGCACTTTCTT